AAGTTTAATTAACGAGTCGAAGAAGTTCTAAGGTTTCTTCAATTTTTATCAGAAAGCTACTGGTCGCAGGGCGAGTGAAGTTTCCCGCGTCGGGACGACAGGAGGATCCACGGTGATCCCTTTGGCGGCACCTTTTGCCGGGCTCCGCATTTCTCCTATGACAAACCGAAGAATGGAAGAATGCTTCGGAGACAAGTTGCATTTACAATAAAGCCGACGGACACCCGGTTTAAATTCTTGTCACCTCGCGGCCTGAGATGCCGCGCGCCGTACCTCGTCGCGGACAGCCCGAAAAATGTTCGTCGATATTTCACGACGAGCCATTAATTCGAAGCTACCATGAGGAAGCGCGCCTAAGCGATGTAACTGTATAATGATGATAAAGATATTCTTAAAGGTCCCAACAATTTCAGTAAGCATCGAAATGAAGCGAATTTTAAGCGCGAAGAAGGATTCTAAATAGTCTCGTGTTTATTGACTATGGTCTTCGTTCTCGTTATGGTCCCATTCTGTTTTAACTGCACGTGGACGTGCAGAGAGAAAAGGAAAGGGCAACATCCTGCAAAGAACGAAACTAGAAATCGGGCGTGATCGTTTAACTGCCTCCATATATTGGAGTTTTAATGAGAGAACGAGAGGGCACAGGAAGGCGGCTGCTCGATGAAATGTTTTATAGATTACCTTCTCGTTCACGCCATGCCATTGTCTCGGACCGTATTCTCGCTCGAACACCCATTAGTGTATTGATTAGATTTTCTGCACTTCGTTTTTCTTCGAACACTTCTGCGCTTATGTAAAACAATAAAGTCTCGGTTCATGTAAAAGTTACTTTGTCTAACACTATCCGACCTACATTTTAAATAGGTAGTGATAGTTTCATTTAATATCTTCTTTGGTAATTTAAAAATGACTTAAAACGAGTAATTCATTTATTATCCCTACTGAATTTTTGGGAATGCAAATAAGGGTTAAAGTCAACAAGTCTATTCGTGGATGAGAATAGCCATCGATTCGATATTCACGGGACATGATCAGAAGCTGATATACGATGCCCCTTGACGGACGACAAATGCCTGACCAGTGAATTACCCGCTTCACGCGGGCTGCGATCACTGGGCTGTCGGTCGGGTTTATTCGTTGATAGGCACAATCAATATCGGCCCTCACGGAGATGAAAAGAGGGACGATTGGCTGAATAGAACGCGTGAAAAGATGCGTGTAATCAATTAGAGAGGGCCCGCGGAGTCGAGAGCAAATATCTCTTTCGTAGCAACGTCATCCTGAAATGTGCTGGTCAGCATCCCCGCTGAGCAAAGTCCTGTACGTTTACATATGAACGAGAGACCGAAACTCTTGCGCCGTCTAACCGAGCATCGAAACTGAATCTACTTACGTTATACTCATGAACCTAATTTTTATGCGAAGTCTACTTTAGGAGAAAAGGGGAGAAATTAAATAAAGAAGCAATAGGAAGAATAACAATCATTTGAAAATGTAAGAATATTTTAAATGAAATTGCACACACAGCGCCTGTATGGTCTGCAAATTCGTAATTCTGACCGCAAAGCGTAGCTTTCTGCAGCTTTCCTGTATGTCGAAAATGTAGGCAAAGGTGTAAAGAGAGAAATACATAGTTCATCTATGTGCTGTCTTTTTCTTACAGCACGAGATTGCACTTCCTCCTTCAAATCGCTTCTAAATCACTTACTGACAAGTGAGAGATAGTGTTGTAGCCAATAATGTGCTATGAGAGAGAGATACCTTGCCTCCAGTAGTCACGATTTCGAATTATACAAGCCGTTCCTTATTTTATTTAAAAAAATGAAACTTAATCTTATTTGCAACTATCGTAGCATAAATAAATGATGTTTCATACTAAATGATAAAAAGAATGAAATCATTGTTGACACCATACCATCTTCCCCCTTCATTCAAAACTAAAGAATTAAGAAACATTCTGCACTTTTCCCGTTGAATAACCGAATCATAGTCGATTCAGTAAATCGATATTGCGTTGCAGAAACGGAGGAAACATATCTGGTAAACGTATGTATGAGGAAGCAACTGGTTCCCTGTTTTCTGCGTGGTCGCAGGGGAGAATCGGCTCGCTTTCCAGCGCCTCCCTTTCAGCTTTCCGCGTGTCGAATCGCGGCTTGAATGGTGGAAAAGGTGCCGCACCTCCGTAGGTTATAAATCTAGCCTGGCCCTCTCTGTCCTACCTTTCTCTCCAGCAGCGGTCCTAGGGGGTCTTGCAGCGTGTGTGAGGTCCCCTAAATGGTAACAAATGTCTTCAAAATGCCAACAATGACCCGCGAAGCGGTTGACATCCGAGAGCGCATTTTATTTTCCTGTCAACGCTCCCTCTTCGAGTTGAGTACGGGAAACGTGACTCTCATCGTCGGCTTCTATGCATATCGTCGGTTTTGTTTAACGCGAACCAACCAATGCGCTATTATACTTTACGAGGAATTTGCATTCGATCGCCTATTGTGCCACGGGATTTTGAAATTTGAACAACAATCACACGGAACTCAGATGTTTTAATGTAAATTCATGAAAGTGCTTATGAAATCGCGAAGAAAGCTAAGTAATTTATTTTGCTGTCGGCGTTTTCACAAAGGGACCAGAGAGGACGTCGATGGGACTGTCAACGCTTCGGACCGA